TGCATCTTTGGCACCGGTTCCTGGGTGGCCATCAACGGCGTTTGGGTTGAGCTTCCCCTTCTGGTCAACGAATTGCCTGAAGGCTGGTATCTCCCTTCCTACCTCACCATCATCATCCAACTGGCCAATCTCGGGCCTCTCTTTGTCACCCTCATGCACAAACTGAAGCCGGGTGTGTTGAAGGAGGCGCCGGTGATTTGCGTGGTGGTCTCCATGGGCATCCTCGCTCTCTTCCTCCTGGCTTTCCTTTGGCATTACACCACGCCCGTCGCTGGAGAACCTCACAGCGTGTCTTTCTTTGTTCTCACCTTCTTCCTCTCGCTGGTGGACTGCACCTCGTCCGTCACCTTCCTGCCTTTCATGGCTCGCTTCCACCCGCGGTACGTCCCCACCCTCTTCATCGGGGAAGGGCTCAGTGGCTTCATCCCAGCTCTCTTCGCCCTGGCCCAGGGCGCCGGCATTGCCACCTGCGTCCAGGTCCCAGGGCCGACCTTGAACGCCAGCCTGGGCAACTCTTCGTGGGCCAACGCCACAGGAGCTGAGGACTCCCTGCCTATGGAGACACACTACTCTCCGGCCAACTTCTCCAGCTTGGTCTTCTTCCTCCTCCTCTCGGCCATGATGTCCTTCTGCCTGGTGGCCTTCGTCTTCCTCAACTGGCAGCCCCAGTCATGGGACCTTTCCAGGCAGGATTTATGCTCCAGCGAGATCACCCTGAACTCGATCCAGAACGTTCCCGCGGGCAAGGAGGAACCGGACAACTCGACGGGAGGCCCAACCTACTCTACGGAGAGAAGGATGGAGAACGTCAATGAAGAGGGCCCAAGAGACGAGAAGGTCCTGTATGCCGGCTCCAAATTGGTCTTCATCTATTTCCTTATCACTTGGCTGAATGCCCTGACCAACGGCATCCTCCCCTCCGTGCAAAGCTACTCCTGCTTGCCTTACGGCAACCTGGCGTACCATCTGGCGGCCACCTTGAGCTCCATGGCCAACCCTCTCGCCTGCACCGTGGCCACCTTCCTACCCAACAGGTGTGTATGCTTGGGGTTAAGACAATGGGTACCAACGGAAGAGGATATTCTCCAGCTCAGGGTTGAAAGGAGAATCCCCTGGGTGCTCTGTGAGCGCGGTGGTTTCCTTGTAGGCGTTTCATCACCCAACTAGGGAACATCATCAGGGCTAGAAAGGAGTGAGGTGTGTGGAGAGGAGGAGGAGGAGGAGGAGGAGGAGGAGGAGGAGGAGGAGGAGGAGGAGGAGGAGGAGGAGGAAAGCTTAGTTGTTTTCTTGCAGAAGTTTCCTTACCTAATGAACTATCAAACCACGCAAAACATTTCTCCTAGCACTGTCATGGCAAACCACTAGTATATAAGCAGGGAGAAAACCCCACTCACTTCTCGCAGTTGATGGTGTTATCTAGTTTGTTCATAAAAGGTCTGCAAAATGACCAAGCAAAGAGAACACCCAGGACCTCATTATATCAACCTATTCAAGTTTCTTTCCCAAGTTTCTGAATGGCTTGCAAGATACCAAATCCTTCCTTCCTTCCTTCCTTCTCCTCCTCCTCTTCCTCCTCCTCCTCCTCCTCTTTGCCAACCCCACTCCCTTCTAGCACTGATGATGTTCCCTAGTTGGGTCATGAAACATCTGCAAAAAAAACCCCACCCAGCTCAGAGAGCACCCAGGACCCCATAATATCAATATCCCATTTTCTTTCTCAAGCTTCTTCATGGCTCACGAGCTGCCCAATCATTTCTTTACTCGATCCTGGCTTACCGTGGCATGTACGCCCAGCTTACATCTTCCCCGTGCTGCCTAACCAGTTCTTCCTCTGAATGCTCTCTTGCTGTGGGCGAAGTCTGGGTCCGTGTCCAAAAATGGCAACCCACAACCTCTGTCCTTTCCGCCCCTCCAGGTCTCTTCTCTTCCTGGGGATCCTGACGGCTGCAGGAACTGCCTTCGGGGTCTACAACATGGCCATGGCTGTGCTGAGCCCCTGCCCGCTCCTGCAGCACTCCAACTGGGGAGGTGCCCTGATTGTAAGTCGGCCACTCGATCACTTCCCGCGAGTGGAAAATACAGGGGGGGCGGGTTTGGAGTCGCACAGCATGCTGGGCTTTGTGGTTCCATGTGTTCTGGCCTGGGCTTGTTCCCAAGATCATGAAGCTGACTCCTTGTCCCGATAAAAACCCCTTTTATTTTAGGTTCAAGGGAATTCCTCTCCAGCAAAGTCCCGGCAAACAGTCTTCCAGGAGAGTTCACAACTACAGACCTTGATCAGGCTTGGAGAGTTGCCAGGCCGATATCTTCCAAACGCCATGCTGTAGCAGACAATACTTGGCAAGGAGTCAGGAACAGATCTTCACCCTAATGAATTGAACTAATTGTCTCCTGCAAAGCCCCACTCCCCTTTCGCTCCTCTTTTATTCCCTATGGGAGGGGTCATTCACCATCCACCTGTGGCTTTACTCCCAAGTCGACCCTTGTTCCTTAGCTGTTCCCTTCTTCTGGCAGCTCTGTGCATGCGGACACTGGGAACAGGCCCCAGCTGTTCTTCTGCCTAACTGACCTCCGATGCCAAAGGCAGCTGATAACTGTCTGACAGCCCTGGCCCCATCTCTGCCTCCAACGCAGAGCCCTCATCAGAGCCTTCCCCAAACTCCAGGATTGGCCCATGTTCCTCCCCAACCTCTTCACTGTCCGAGTCTGCCACCAGCTCCACTGGCTACTGGCAGGCAACAACAGAATAGAATATAGAAATATGAATGGAATGGAATGGAATGGAATGGAATGGAATGGAATAGAATAGAATAGAATAGAATAGAATAGAATAGAATAGAATAGAATAGAATACAATAGAATAGAATAGAATAGAATAGAATAGAATAGAGAAATAAGAATATAATAAAGAAATAAGAATAGCATACAATAGCATAGCATAGTGTAGTAGCAATAGAGATCCTGTAGAGGGTGCACACAGCATACTGCTGTGCCTAATACCTATATGGGCCTCTTTGCATGATATCACTCCCTGTTCTGGGCTGGAAAGTCCCGTACCTGGTACAATGATCTCACCTTACTAACATCACCACTATTTTTAAGGATTGGTTGGGGGGTTTCACCAATGCTAATGCTGTATCTAGGTTGCTTTTTGTGACTTGTAAAAAAACATATAAAACGAATAAATGCTACGTAGGTAGTCAGACATCTTTACACACTCAAATGACTGGTGGAATGGAATGGAATGGAATGGAATGGAATGGAATGGAATAGAATAGAATAGAATAGAATAGAATAGAATAGAATAGAATAGAATAGAATAGAATAGAATAGAGAAATAAGAATATGGAATAGAATATGGAATGGAATGGAATGGAATAGAATAGAATAGAATAGAATAGGAATTGGAAGGGGCCTTGTAGGTCATGTAGTCCAACCCCCTGCTCAAGCAGGAGAACCTATACCATTTCAGACAAGTGCCTGTCCAGTGTCTCCCGAAAAACCGCCAGTGACGGAGCCACCAGCAACTTCTGGAGATCTTCCAAGATCTCAATCTGGCAACTTCTCACCCACATTCTTCTCTCCGTTCTCTCGACAGGTGATCTCCTGGGTGTCCTTCACCGGAACCCTCACCTACGTCAAGGTGATGCTAGGGATGATCCTTCGCAGCTGCAGCCACAGTGCCCTGGTCTGGTACGGTGCGGTGGAGCAGCTGGGGTCTCTGCTCGGAGCTGTGCTGATGTTCCCCTTGGTGAACGTTTACCACTTCTTCCAATCGGCTGACTTCTGCAGTTTCCAGTGCCCGGCGTGACGTGACGGGATTCGAGCAGAGAACCTGCCAAGCATGTCAACCACATGCATGATGGGAAATATCACTCAGGAATAGTCACCCCCCAAAAAAATAGTCACCCCTCTTTTTGGACCAAAAGAAGGCAAGGGGTTGGAGAACTTAGCAAGCCCAGGAGGATGTCTATGAAGGACCATGTCTTCAGAGTCAACAGCAGGCCAGGGAGCCAAGTGAACGCACCATGAGTTTTTTGCTCAACCCATATTATCTTTTGGAGGGCCCTTAAAGTAGGATGGATGAGGCTTGGCTGAGAAGAATCTGGGTGAGCATCAGATGACTCCAGAAATTACAACTTTCCTAACATTTGGCACCCCAGATGAGACCGCCGTGCTTTTAAGAATAAACCATGTTTGACTGATCAAGGAGAAACTGTCCATGAACCCTACATTCTTCAGCTGGAATGTCTTTGTAAGAAAGTAGTTGCATTCCATGTACAGGCCTTATGAGCACCATTGAGCCCCAAATTTCTGTCGCTAAGTGAGACACAGTCCGACATGGAATAGGTTCTCCTGCTTGACCAGGAGGACCTCTTATTTTACCATGTTTCCCTGAAAATACAACCTACCCTGAAAGTAAGTCCTAGCTTGATTTTTTTACACGTGCGCCCAATATAAGCCCTACCCCCCCAAAAAATAAGCCCCAATTAAGATCCCGCCCACTCCAGAGTAGATAGGTAAAAATTAAGCTAGGGTGGGGGTGTAGGGGGTGGGTGGAGTTGCCCTACTACTTACCTTTGGGAAGTTGTAGCCGGGCCTCGCACGCCCTGACACCTGCCTGCCTCCTTCTTCTGCAGCCAGCAAGGGTTTCCTGAAGGCCTCTGGAGCTGAGAACAAATCTCTGGATCGATCCTGAGTTCTCTTATCCACTTACAGAGGCCTTCAGGAAAGCCTTGCCAGCCGTAGAAAAAGTTCCTGAAGGCCTCTGACAGCAAAAAGGAGGTCGGGGATGATGCACGCAAGTGAGGTTAGTCAATGGAGGACATCCCCCGAAAATAAGACCTGGTACTTTTTTGGGGGTAGCAAAAATAAATAAATCATAAGACAGGGTCTTATTTTTGGGAAAGCACGGATAAGTTCTATGTTCTAAAATAAGAAATAGTGAATAAACCTGAAACAAGTAGGGTTTACTTTAAGCGATCAGCCTTAAGCAGGTCCAGTCATGCCAGGGCTGAATCAACTCCAACAGTTGTGATAGGATCTGCTACAGCAGTGATCCCCAACCTTTTTTATGCCGCGGCCCGGTACCGGCATCAGCTGGGCGCCGCGGCCCGGTACCGGCATCAGCTGGGCGCCGCCATCTTTTTTTGATGAAAAAGTGCTTCCGGTGAGCTTTCTACCCGGAAAAGCTCACCGGAAGCACTTTTTCATCAAAAAAAGATGGCGGCGCCCAGCAAACCAGCGGCCCGGTAGGACTTGTTCCACGGACCGGTACCGGTCCGTGGACCGGTGGTTGGGGACCCCTGTGCTACAGGATCACCCAGATCCATTCAACGGATCCTTTTTACCCACATAGTCCTCCAGGAAAAGGAGTTGAAGAGAGAGGGTGGCTACTCAATTCAGCCTCTCGGTTGCAGAATTCTGGCCGATGGCTTCGCCAATGCGGATTGGCTGCACGCCTCCTGCAGCCAGCCTATCGCAGGGAGATGGAGATAGTAATGTCCAGAAATCTTAGCAAAATTTGTTCCTTAGCTGGCTGGGGAATTCTGGGAGTTGAAGTCCGCATTTTCTTCTACTGGCCAAGGTTGGGAAACATGCTTTGAGAGGTTTCAAGGTTTTTCTTCTCTCTCTTTTTTACCCAACAACCATCCTGTTGGGTGGGCCCAAAGGAGCTTCTGTGGCTGGATTTCCACCCCATATGTCCAACTGGATGTTTTCTGGATGTCTCCTTGCATCTCACTCTCTTAGCCGAACGCCCAAATCCTTATTCCACATTGGCTATTTAAAATAGTCTGTACCTACGATCCAAACGCAGATGCTAAATTTTTGTAATGGATACATTTCCACATTGAGAGCCAACCTGGCATCTTCCTTCCAGATGGATATTTAGAAGAACACCTAGAAGAGGGAAGGGAAGGGAAAGGGGAAAGGGTCATGCTCATCATCGGGGCCCTGCTAAAAATGGTGCCACAGAATTCCAGTTTCCATCCCAGAGGGATAAAACAATAGGGATGAAGATGACTTACATGTTAGTTATCAAGAGGGGGCATGAATGAGAGAAAGAAAGAAAAAGAAAGAAGGGAGGGAGGAAGGAAGAAGGGAGGGAGGGGAAGGAAGGAAGGAGGGGAAGGAAAGAAAAGGAAGGGGAAGGAGGGAAGGAGGGAGGGAAAGGAAGGAAGAAAGGAAGGAAGGAAGGAAGGAAGGGGGGAAAAAGGAAGATGGGGCAGTTTCATAGTGAAGGAATCTGGTTTTGCATGGATTCCAGCATCAACATCTTTAAAAATAAGTTTTTTTCCCATTCTGTGATTGTCTGCCAGCTGTCCTCCACTGCAAATGAACCCCGGACCGGATGCCACTACACCCCCGTTCAATTCTGCAGCCGACCAGACTCTATGGCAGTTCCCCCCAACCGTAGAGTCTCTTCCTAGCATGGCGTCCTTTTTCCTCTACCTGTCCTAACCGAAAGCCCTATCAGTTGTGGAGCCAACCAGCAACAGGGAGCTGCAGCAGAGGGGTGAAAGAGCCACATGCGGCTCCAGAGCCACAGGTTGCTGACCACCACCCCCAAACTAGAGGATCTCCAAGATCCCTTCCAGCCCTATGATTATATGCTCTAGCACAGAGGTCTCTAAACTTGGCGACTTTAGGACTTGTGGACTTCAACTATGCTGGCTGGAGAATTCTGGGAGTTGAAGTCCACAAGTCTTAAAGTTGCCAAGTTTGGGGACCCCCTGCTCTATAGCATGTTCTGTGCCAACTCATAAAATATTTCTATGGTCTTTTCACAGTTGCCAACAGAAAGGGAGAAAGGGGGAGCAGCGCGGCAGCTTGCAAAACTGAAAGTGCATTCCATAAATAGGTTTTCAAAGATAGTAACTAGGTGAAGGCCGAAATTTCTGCAAAACTCTAACTGGAGAGCATGATTGGTGACTCTTGGCTATGGAGGTGTCCCATTGGAGAATATGAATTACAATATACCCAGGAGGTAGTGGGGGTGTGTGGAAACCAGGGTCAAGGATGACAATGAATGATGTGCCTCGGAGTCAGCTACACCCAGGCAGTGCTGGTCATGTTAACTCCCAATAAATTCTTTTGAAGTTTTGGAAGTTTGGCTCAAGATTCATGATTTAAATGGGGGGTAACTGCCAAAATTCTGCACACTGTACAGAAGCATGCAGTGAGCATATTTAATTTAGCCCAGATCTGCCTGTGGTCCCTAAATTCAAATCTGAATTGTTGGTCTTCGAACTGCCTTTCCAGTCATTAAAATTTGTCGGCAGGAAATAATAAGATTTCATTTCACCCAACGTTTCAATTGGATGGAGTTACCGTCAAAGGGACTCTGTCGGCGGCGTCCTTTTTTTTTTTTCACGGCGGGATTGTGCGTGTTTAAAAAACAACAGTCTTCCCTTTCTTGATTCCTCACTTATTATAAGTGAGTGTTTATTTTGATTTATGTTTCGAGTCGATTGGTCAAGCTGCCCCTCTGGGCAGGGGACTTAGGGGGTACTGAACAATAAACAGAATAAAATCAATTATAGCACCCATGCAAAAATTGAAGTCTAGACCGACTGAGAAAGACAACACTGTCAACAACACTAAGACAAACACCTTGGGGAACTCAGGGCTGGGCACGGAACCAGCTCTCCCCTAGGGCCCTGGGAAGGGCCAGCGAGGGAGGGGCCTTTCCTTGATCTCTGGAGGGACGTGATCTCCCCCACCCACCCAAACAAGCTTTCTATAAATTATAGAGTTTTTGGAAGTAATCAGTTTGGTTAGCCAGTTCCTGTGTTATTCTGCGACCTTAATGGCACGTAGTTGCAATCGGACTCAGTTTTCCATTTGAAAAATGGAACTTTTTTACTTTTATGTAAGTCTACCTTGCTGGATGACTAATGGGTCCCTTTCCTTTCCTTTCCTCTCCTCTTTCTTTTCTTCCTTTCCTTTCCTCTTCCTTTTCTTTTCTTTCCTCTTCCTTTTCTTTTCTTTCCTCTTCTTTTTCTTTCCTTTCCTCTTTCTTTTCTTCCTTTCCTTTCCTCTTCCTTTTCTTTTCTTTCCTCTTCCTTTCTTTCTTTCCTTTTCTTTCCTGTTTCTTTTCTTCTTTTTCTTTCCTCTTTCTTTCCTTTCTTTCCTTTCCTCTTCCTTTTCTTTCCTTTTCTTTCCTGTTTCTTTTCTTCTTTTTCTTTCCTTTCCTCTTTCTTTCCTTTCCTCTTCCTTTTCTTTTCTTTCCTCTTCCTTTTCTTTCTTTCCTTTTCTTTCCTGTTTCTTTTCTTTTTCTTTCCTTTCCTCTTTCTTTCCTTTCTTTCCTTTCCTGTTTCTTTTCTGCTTTTCCTTTCCTTTCCTCTCCCTTTCTTCTTTCTTTTCTCCCTTTCCTCTTCCATTCCTTTCCTTTCCTCCCCTCCCGTTTTTCTCCAGCTCCTGTCTTCTCTCCCTTCCCCTTGTCTCCTCTCCTCCCTCTCCTCCTCCCTCCCTCCCTCCCCTCCCTGCCTACCTACACTACCTACACATATGTATCTATTTGACTCTTTCCCTCCCTCCTTTCTTTCTACAGTTCTCCATCAAATCCTTCCCATACTTATTTAAGTAAGAGCTGTTTTTCCAGCCGCAGGTATTTCCATGCTGCATCTTTGTGATATTTGAATATTTCCATATCATCCATAAGGCAGGCTATTTATTTGTTGTTTGTTTATTTATTCTTTCTTTCCTTCCTTCTTTTTCTCTTTTCCTTCCAACATACGTACCTACCTATCTGCCTCTTTTCCTTCCTTCCTTTTTCTTTCTTTTTCTTTTTCTCTTTCTTTCTCTCTCTCCCTCCCTCTTTCTTTCTTTCCTTCCTTCCTTTTTTCTCTGTTCCTACCTGCATAAGTACCTATCTGCCTCTCTTCCTTCCTT